ATGTTCTTTCTTTAAAGTTTGCACTTTGAAGTGTAGCTTTTACCGTCCAATTCTGCAAATATTTCAATTTCAATGATCCATGTATCAATTTTGATTAAGTAGATAGAGCAGATAATAAGGAAAGTTATCATACTGACCCTTGTTTCTTTGCCTAGAAGTAAGCAAGAACATTAATTTTAAAAAAACTCTTTGTCAGCATATGCACTAGATGGACTGGAGTATATTCTTAGGCTAGCATGTATATACAGTAATTCCAAATTCAGTAAAAAAAAGAATTACACAATGGCCAACCACAAACACTCTCTATCCCGCCTTGCTCAATAAAAGCATTCTTAGGAGCAAGCTTTTGTATGAAATGTTTGACTAAATTATTGTTTACCTAATGTAATCTTACATGTGACTATTCCAATCTGAATTCTATTAGGCTTCTTTCTAAGTAAGAAAGTAATAAAATTGCAGCTTTATTAAGCAGCAAAGGAAGAATTCCCTCACTTTTCTCTCTCTCCCCAATAATGATCATTGGCTCACAATATAGAAACAAACTGCCATCTGGAAAAACATACTTCTAATTTGTGCTTCATGTTGCATGCATCAACATAGCTAGGCTTTTGCACATATGAAGTTGTTCTGGTCTGCTCTGCAGTATTTAAGCAAATAATAAACTTCTAACATCCTAGTTGCAAAGGAATCTCCTGCCCTAAAATATGGGAGGTGGGTCAAGGGTTGTAAATGATGACAGTTACTATTTTATCACTTTTACAATTACATGACTGCATTTGCCCTTAAGTGTAAGAGGAAGACCCCCTAAGCAATGTATAAAGCATGTTATAAAAATTACAAAGCAAAAGAAAATGAAATGAAAAACGTTCATTAGAACAGAACTGCTGGTGTAGTCAGTGGCAGAGGCATGAGAAGACCAACATCAGAAGGTAGCTTTTTAAAATGTGTCTAAAATATGCCAAATTGGAACTTGGTACACTGCAGAGGATAGGTACACAGGGCCACAATTCCTTCACATTACTTCCAAGTGGCCATTCATAGGCAGTGACACAGAAAAACAGGTCTTTCCTGACCATCAAACGTACTCCAGTGACTAGTGTACCTGGAAGGTCTGCATAATTTTAAAGAAATCTTTTTGGCATGTCCATATATCTCTGTAAATTTAGGCTGGCCAGGGCAAAGTCCTGCATATGGGCCATCTTGCTAAGATAGATCAAGGTACTACCATGTGGCTTTCAGAGAGGGGAAAAAAAAAATCTTCTTTCCCAACAGCTACTTGTACCATCAAAGCAGACTTTTTGCTAAAGAACTTTTATATCTTAACAAATGAAAGTGGATTGTCTTTCAGCATCATATTAAGCAAGTCCTAAAAAAATAGGATAATGATTTAGCCTTCCTTCCTTCCTTCCTTCCTTCCTTCCTTCCTTCCTTCCTTCCTTCCTTCCTTCCTTCCTTCCATATTGTTTGGTGCAATTCTGTTGATCGACTAACATAACCTTTTGGAAGGATCGGTTTGTCCATATAAATGGGCACCCACACACAGATTGCTGCTCTCTTTCTGCTTTGTTCAGGTTCCTTGGCTACTTCTGCAGTCCTTTGGTCTGGGACTTATTTTTACACATGTGTTGTTACACAATTTGGTAGTTCTTAAGGGTGGTTCCAGTTTTCAGCTGGGTGTGATATTTCCAGTGCTTCAACAGGGCCCTGTAGAATGTCTCCAGTTCTTGTTAGGGCCTCTGTTTCAAGCTACCTAACAAAATGAGCTTTGATTCCTGCTTTCTGGGTCTACTCATATATAAACATAAATGGCATTTCAGTTTCTCCAGAGATGCTTAGGGGGAAAATGAATTGCAGCATCAAAGGAAATGTAATTTTCTTGGAATCTCACCTCATAATTGCAAAGGGGGAGGAGACTCTGCCCCCAGTCTTCCCTAGTTCCAGCACTTCGTCATCTGCCTTGATTGTCCTGGCAGTTGAAGCTGATGTTTCCAAGGCAAGCTCCTATTGCATAGAAGGGAGAGAATGTGAAGGCAGATGTTTCATTAAGCCCACCGCTGTACTCAGTGCTTACCCTCTCCGTGAGCCAGCTACTTTTGCTTTGTGTTTTTTTTCTAATGAGCTTTTTCAAATTGTATATTATCAACAAGCAGAGGCTTCCGGGGGCGGGGGCATGCAAATCGAATCAAACTAAATATTATATATCTAATCTAGCAAAGGATAAAGCTCCATGAGCTTTTGCATGGTGATACATCAGATTTCTTAAATTCTTTGGAGAATTGAAGCAGCATTGAACAAGAACTGGACGCACGGGGGAAAAAATCCCCAGTCATTAAAAATTTGTGTCACCATCTCTTTCGTTTCATTTGAGATCTCCAAGAAGGCAAAGATCAGACATGCCTGATTAGCACAGCCAATATAGAAACACCAGGAATAAGGGTTTGTGTTCAGAAACCTTGCAGGAAAAATTAATTCCTACTGCAATTGTCTGAATTGAGATTGAAGTTGTTATCTACGATGCCCATTCCTGAAAAATGTTGCTTCTTCTTATGTCAACTGTCCACAGCCTGATACCCTCCAAAATGTTTGATTCTAGTTTCCAGCCAGAAGGGCTAACATAAGCATTGCCTTTTGTCTTTCATTGTGCAAAACACAATAAAAACAATGTTTAGCCTCAAAATAGAAGTAGTCCTTTAGTTATGGCCACATTCCAGCTGCTAGTCACCTGAATTTTGATCACGTAACCACAGGGATGGATGCTACAATGCTCATACGTGTGAGGACAGTTGAAAGTTACTTTTTCCAGTGCCGTTGTAACTAAACTGTTGCTAAATGCGAAATGAATGTTAAGTTGAGGACTACCTATATATTGAAGGATTTTAACGGGGCCAGGGAGAGATCCAGATTCAAAGGGCAGTATGTGATGAGGAGTGCTCAGAGATGTGCTTGTGATGCCTGTTAGGAACATCTTATAGTAACTCTGGCTTTTCCTGAGCTTGTGCTGATGCCTTCCACAGCTTACACAGATCCCAGCAAAAAAGATATTTTATTTAAGAGGTTCCCAGAAGTGTTCGATGCTACAAATTGCATTTTGCCCATTGAATCTGCCTCTCTACAGAGCCCTTTTCCCCTATCTTCCCAGGGCAATCATTGCACTGTTACTTAAATACTTTTTTCCCCAGCATATACGTCAATTTCATTTGTAACTGGGAATGCTTTTTTCTTAGAAACTTAGATACCTCAGGAGGATAGCCAGTAGTAGAGTGTCTAGCAAACTGCGTAAAAAGCTAGCACACTCAAGCAACAAATGTTACATACCCATAGCCATAATATTTTTGAGCTTTTATATATATATTTCTTTTAAAAATTTAAATTTACAGGCTTCTTTTTAGGTGTTCTTAATCATTCCAGTGTAAGAATTATGCTCAAATTTACTATTAAATGCAGCATGTGCTCACACAAAAAAAGAAAAAAAATATTTCCTTAATGTGATGCCTATTTTCATCACCTTTGTTTGTTGGGATGGGGAAGATATTTTCAAAATTACTTGACTCAGATGCCTTCGTCTGATCTGACATATACATTTGATGGCTTCCAGTTTATACATCTTTGGTTTCCTTTCACTCCTATCTAAAAAATTTATATGCAGTTGTGGCTTTTAAAAATTACCCTGGTTGCACTCCTTTTGAGACAGACAAGCAAGTGTGAGAAGGTCTACATCAGGGGTAGGCAACTTTGGCTTTTTTATGACTCAGCTATGCTGACTCAGGAATTCTGGGAGTTGAAGTCCACGAGTCATAAAAGAGCCAAGGTTGCCTACCCTGGTCTACATTTTGGGGGGCTTGTGCATGCCAAACAGAACAATAACCAGAATTCCCTCCTCCTCTGCTTGGACAAACCATTATGAAGCAAAGAAGAAAACCCATTCTGTTGATCACTCTAAAAAGTTAAGAAATTATCCTTCCTATTTTAAAAAAAGAGTTTTAAAATTGATATTTTTCATGATTGCTTTTCAATTAACAAAGGTGTCTTTTACATAGATTACTATATAATCATTAAAAATAAGTATATGTTTGCTAACTCTAATCTCCTGAAATAGCCCACACGCAGTGGTGGGATTCAGCCAGTTTGCACCACTTCGCCAGAACCGGGAGCTAATTTTTTGTTGCCCAGGCCCAGAATGGACTTCCGGAAACGGCATCCACACAGAGGACCAGTGGTTCACATATTTGAATCCCACGACTGCCCACATGCAATATAAAATTTAAATAAAACAAAAATATATGAAAATTTAAAGGACATAAAAAATCCAGAAAATATAATCAGATTGTTCAAAAGTCCATTTCAAATCAAGCAGATTTGAGCATCAGCCATGTTTTTCCCTTCAAAACAATCTTTTTAGGTATCTGTCTGTCTAATATATCTATCATCTATCATCTATCTATCTAGCCTTCTGCAGACCCTTTTATGACCTTGTATGGGTGCAAATAGCTTTCAGGAAACAAATGGTGACTAAGGGCCCAGGAGAGAGATTGGCAATAGAGAGCCGAGCTTTCAAAGAAGAGCCTTAGCTGCAGCTACTGAGTTACTTAGAGCCTTTCAGACTTTAACCAGCAGAGGACAGTGCTTTCTATTTTTTTGCAGCAGGTTCCTATTGGAAGATGTTTTTGAAGTACAACACTACTGATTGTGGCTTAGACTAATGACAGGCAGAGCAAATTTTCCGGCTTTTTTTTTTTTTTTTTTTGTAATCCAGGGAAAGCATCATTAGGAGATTCCTCCCATGGGCCTTTTTCTGCAGCTGTGTTATTAGGCTGCTAAAGGAGAGGCCTACCTTAAGAAAGTATTCTTATAGAGAAGACCTTATTCCTTTGGGAAAATTCAGAAAAACTGCCTATCCACTTTCTCTGCTTGTTTATGCTTAACTGTACTGGCAATTTAAGCAAAGGTTTTGGCCTGCTCTAGACTGCCAAAAGACTAAATGGCTTGTATGTTTTTCCCAGCAGAATACTCACAAGGACCTATCCCAACTTTGTGGAATGATCCACCAGAGCTGCAGTCAGGTGGAGGTCCTTTAGAAACCACCTCTCCTGCCCGCTTCTCAGATTCTACAGGATTCCCATCATACACATCTGATTATGAACTAGAGGACACAACCCATCTCCACCAACTGGATAATGACAATGGTATCCATGCTTGGCAGCGGGGCTGATTATTGGGATGGTTCTAGTGACATCTTGTCAGGCCTTCTAATGAAGGATTGCAGAACTTACACGTCTCCCTCAGGCCACGTGCCCATCAAAGAGAGAATGAAACTATGTGTTATTGTTGAGTGGGTTCTGAATATACACATAGCACTTTTCTTTTCCACTGATTGGCTACATAAAGAGGCCTGGCTGTCTATATCAATCCCATGGGAGCTTTTAGGATCATTTTTGTTCCTCTTATTACAATTAAGTTTACAGTAGTTTAAGGGAAAGGGTTAAAGGGGACAAACTGTTTCCGGTCATTTCTGCACTAGGTATAATTAGTCCATTGCATGTAACTTTTAGTGGTGGGATGCAGGAAGCAATATGTTTGTCTGCAACCCAGTTTTAAGACATCCTAGCTTGCATAGGACAATGGAACCAGACCTAGGCTAAAGCTGGACTTTAGTTGTGCTTGTGGAATTCTGGCCAGAGGGCACCCAAACTAGTTGTGTGTCCTTCCCATCAGCAAGGAGTGCTGCTTGTGGCAAATGTGCACCTGATACGTGCAAAACTTGAGAGGTTTGGGAATAGAAAGTTCTGAAGAACAAGAGAGTTTTCTTGCTCAGTCTATGCTGCCTCTCCTCTAGAACAGGCTATTTAGTGGTCAGTTGTTAATTTTCCAGGAGTAAATTCTTCAGACTAAAAGTGATTAAAGTTATTCTGAACATGGTGTTCTGGACAAAGCAAGTCTTTGAGGGATCACCCCCCAGAATATAACCTTCATAGGAAAATTAGACGAGAAGTTTAAAGAATAAAAGACAGTACATAAATCAGTGCCTGGAAACAGGGAATACAATATCAGAAAGATAGGGAGGTAGAGTATATTAGTGCTATACTGTACACCAATGCTAATTTGAAGGAGAAAAGTTGATTATGCATGGGGGTGTGTATAGCATCTGAGCACATCTCCATAAGTCCTATGTGTCTAACAAAAGTTATTATTAACAACTGCAATACAATTTCCATTCGAATCTCAGCTCATCTCTGTTCTGAATAGTTGGGAGCAGGCATAACTGTATTTTGATATTTTACTCCCTTTCTCTTACCTTCTGCCTTTATTATACTTGCAACTTATTATTTTTCTGTGTTTTAAATAATGCTGCCTAGCACAGTAAAGAATAATAATAGTATATTACGTGTACATAAGTGTATGCCCATTGTATATAAATGTACAGCAAAATTCATGTATCCCAGTTCGGATCAACAAATATAGAATACAATCCTCTATTTTGAGTTGCTTTTTAAAATTTATTATCATAAATTGCAATGTATTTAGTTCTAATCATAATAAGTAGCCATGGAAAATTGAAAACAGGAGGCTATCATATTTAATACAAACTAGGCTTGTGCCATCCAGATCATAATAATTTGGCTCTGCTCACAAATTTCAGCTCTACTCTTGCTATGACTCACTGGTTCAACTTTAAGCAAACACACACACACACACACACACCCCAAAGGTTATCCAATTATCTTTATTTTTCATATTTCATCTATATACCAATTTTATGTTATTTCATCTCTAGTTTAATATTGCAAAAATTAAATTTTGCCAATTTGAATTCAAAGAGTTAGAAGGCAACAGTTGGAGTATAACATGTATATTTTTAAATAATAAAACATCTGAATATTTGCAGTTATCTTGGCATGATGGAAAAGTGGCTTGCTATTGTAATCTTCTGTAATATCCTCCTAACTTTGTGATCTATTTTAAAGTACTGGCCTTCTCAGATGCTGTCTGCAGAGGGGATCAAAAGGATGACCATAACCATGTGATCTCTTTTTTACTATACATCATGTGCATCCTTTACATAGGAAGCAATAATTCCCTATCTTTAACAGCATCTCTTTAGCTTTTCATCTCTACTGAGGATTACCTGGTGGTGACCCAGGATTGGGAGTGCAACATACTAGCCTGGAGCTTTCTATAACCACTGCTGTACTCTTAAGCAATATAAAAAATGGAAGAGCCATAGCTCTTTACCCCCATCCTTAAATGTAGCTATCAGCCACTCATTTAGCAACTATGGTAGAATCATTATAGATTCAATGTAGTTGAGCAATTGTGGGGGTATTGTATAATCTACTAAATTATTTATTTTGGTCTTTGTATCTCATTTTTAACTAATTTACTATTGCATTGTGTATTGTATATGCCAAACCCAACTACTCTTCTGTTCTCTTTCATCTCATCTGCAGGGTCTCTGGGTCCTGGGGCTATCGGTGCCATAGTGATTGCTGCTCTGCTGGGCACGTCTGTGATTGTGGCCTTGATTGTTATCACTCTACGAAAATGTTCTGCTTCCTAAAATTAATAAAAAGTGTTTTCCTCCCCAAGTATACTCTTTTCGAATCTTCCCCTTTCCTCCATGCTTGCATATTTTGGGAGAGAATAGGAAGAACAAAGGTACGCCTGCATTTCAGAGGGCAACCTGTCCTCAAGCCACCTTGGATCACAGCCATGGGGCTTCTTCGCTTTCAGACAAAAGGCCTTGAAAATGCAGAGTCTAATGATTGCAGAGTTGGATGTTAGGTGGGAGGTACAGACTGCCCGAGAAGCTGCTACAAGCATCAAGTTCCTGACAAGAAGACGCTTGCACCACCAAATATCATGAAGCCCATGCATTACTGAAAGGCCACCTTACATTCATGCATGCATTTAAAGGCACATATTAAAACTATGAAGGCTTAATTGCTATAGCAAAAATAAAACCATAACCAGCAGCTTAGTTTTTGATTCCTGAAATACTAGTGCTGGGGAGCAAGATCAAGCTGTTCTGTATTTATTTCAGATGGCCTGATTTTATATATTGTTCTGTTATAATTAAACAAGCCTTCCCCCCACTAAATACTATGTTTGCCCTGGCTTTTTTTTAAAGCAGCCAAGTTAATATTTGTTAATATTGGATATTATTTTGGGGAGAGATGAGAAACACTAAGGTTAAAAAAAAGTATGCAAATTTTTCCTTTGATTGTGTAGAACAACAGCATCATTTATTGCATACTCTTAGGAACATGCACTTCTATCTATTTGACTAATAATGTGTGACAGAGTGGTGCAACTACTATAAACATCTATGTGAAACTCTACTCACATCTCTCAAAGCTTTTGTGCAGTTGTGTTACATATTTAGTAGATTTAAAAAGGAGGTTGAAACTTTCCAATGGTAGATTTGGCAGATTACCTTCCTAAACTGTATACTGCAGTGGTCTTCAAACTTGGCCCTTTTATGACCTGTTGAGGAATTCTGGGAGTTGAAATCCACAAGTCATAAAAGGGCCAAGTTTGAAGATCCCTGGAATACTCTGTATCACATCATCTAACCTAAAGTGAGCTCTTCTTTCCATTTACAAAGAGTTTTCTCTGCCAGGACTTATCCATGCTTCTTTAGACATTGGAATACCTTCTCAGAGTATTCAGTCTTAAATCGTTCTTAAAGTATATTGTTTTGGATAGCAATTGTTGGGCTCCCAATTTTCCCCAGTTCCAGCTTGATGAATTGTCATGGATTCTGGGATTTACAGCTGAACATCCAGAGAATGATAAGTTCCTCATTCCTTCTCTAAAATATTAATATATCTCATATTTATTAATATATAACAAGAAGCCTTTGAAAGATGGCTTTTTTCTACTGCTTACAGGATTCTTCACAAACCTGACCCCTACTAATGTCTGTGTGGCTAAACTTTCATAAAGTCCAGCTAACATTACCAGGTCATCCTTTTATAAAGACATACTTGCTCAACTTATTATAGGAAGTGATTTGCACATTGCTACAATTTTTAGGTATTTTTTTCATGTTTTTATACAATCTTATCTACTTTTTTATTATTTTGCAAGTAAATTACTCAAAGGCACAACAATGGTACAAGCAAAACATGATTGGTATTAGATTACCATTGTGAGATGAGAATGGACGCTTTCCCTCCAAAACTCAGCCACACTGGTGTTTTTATAGCTCAGTATAGCTCAAGAAAAAAAAATCTTAATGCAATTTGGAAAACTCTAATTTCAGTAGCAATGAAACACTAGGATCATATTTTAATAATACTGACCACAACTTAATTGCCTAAGAACATATGAGTGAGGTTTTTTCCTAATACAATGATTACAAAAGTTTTCACATATTCACGCTCTATCCTTTCAAGCTGAAAAGTCTTACTCCTGGAAATTGGTGTTAGTTATAATGATAGAACAGAATCATTTAGACCAATGGCCTTTCATATTATACAACAGTACAACAGTTTCTCATTTGGGGGCAAATTAACAATTTTATATTTGTGCCTTGTAGAAAGGGCATTTAATAAATTATTTTGGGAGTATATAAATAAACACTTCTTGATAATTGCTTCTGTAACATTTTTAATATGCAAAATGTTTTACAACCTTTTAATATAATAGGCTCGGTCCCATAGCTAACCCTGTGGCTTTTCCAAAGTTAGAAGGATCTTGATGCTTTTCATGGCTCTCTATTAAATGCTGAGACATCTCTTGTTCTTTTGGCTCAAGGCTTTCCTGTACACGTGTTTAAAGTACAGATTTCATGCACTTTGCTAAGGGTGCACAACAAATGAGTAAAATCACATTTCTATTACTTTGATACAACTTTGGAGACATTTAATACAAACATCCACCTTTTGTCTTGGGCCTGCTGAGTTTTTTTGCATGAGCATTGGTTGTTATGGATGTACAACCACAGAACAAAGGAGCAAAAGACAGAACTTTACTGTTCTGACTCTGAATAAGTTACTGATGCTTACCATATGTAGCACCCGTGTGGAATGTTATGAAGAGCTTATTTGGCTGTGAAAACATGTTCTCTGCTTTTCTTTTACTTCTTTTTCAACATATGCAAATGCTTCAGTGTATACAAGAGGCTCAAGCAGAGAAATCTCTTCAAGGGATATTATCTCAAATATTGCAATCTCCTATACAGTTTAGTGCAGCATTTGCTTAGGACAAAACCCTTAATACAGTGGTCCCCAACTTTTGTGGCTTGGTGGCTCGGCTGGGGGAGGGAGAGGGGAACTGGGCCATATGAGGGGCGAGCTGGTGCATGCGCATGCACGCAGCTAGACTTGTACAAGTGGAAGGCTGGCATGCTGGTCCATCACTCATACAAGTTGAGCTGCATGCCAGCTGCTCATGTGACCCAATTCCAAACAGGTCATGGCCCGGTAGTGAGCCTCAGCCTAGAGGTTAGCGATCCCTGTCTTAATATACTCCCCATTCTGGCACTAACTCCAAATACAACTATACTCTGCCTGGTTCCCAGTGGTAAGTGTATGAGATAACTAACTTTGGATAAGTAAGTGCAGTTAGTGGTTGCTTAGACAGGGAATAATATTTCTTATAAAACAGAATAATTGATTCCATATCATCCCTGAATAATGTGGTTTGGCATACATCATTCTGAGAAGCGTAGACTACACAGGTCAAAAAAATAGAAGGATGATAATCTGAGTTCCCAATTGGCCCACTGCAACCAACTGACTCTTATTTTAGAAAATATACTTTGCATGCTTCAATATTACCGTCTAGAACTTGGAAGTTCATAACGAAGACACCCAGGTAAATAAATATTGTAGTGCATTTTAACTACATAACATTGCACTTCTTGATCATTTTGTTACCTCCACCTTTCTTCCAAAACACAAGAGGAAACTAGTTTATCACATGAGCAGTTCAAACTCAGTTCTAGGAGAAACTTCCTGAGTATAAAAATATGGAAGTTGATAATTTATAGTATAAGCTTTCAAAGTAGTATTGTCCACAACTTCATTATCTTTTCATAAGAAAATCAAATGCTGCACTTTTTTGTACCATTGGATAAGATGCTAAAGAACCAAATTGCTGGATTTATGGACTTTGACATAATTTTCCCTGTTGCTCAAGTGATTAGTTTCCTCATCATGCAGAATTAATAAATTTACATTCTTCAGAGTATGCAGTACATTAGGAAAGACATTTACAGCTTCTACATCTGTACAGGTGAATGACAGCCTCTCTTCTTTTCAGTCTGTCTTCAGAAAGACTATCCAGCTTGTAATGAGAATGCAAGGAAGCCCAATAGTTCATAGGTGAAAGGATCTGCTTGCCAAGAGATGACTCATGTGCATTCTCTCAAGCACTACATTTCATTGTCTCGGCCTCTGCCATAAATAGCTTCTGAAAAACAGACGACTAAGTAATGATCATTGTCTATTCCTGCTGCCCATCTTCCTCCGCTGACTGTCATCAGTTTTGTGCACTCGGAAACATTCCTTTAAATTCTGAGATCGAATCTTGGCATTCATAATCTCTTCACCCATAGAACTGGGGAACCAACCTCTTTCTTGATCATGCAAACGTTCCCCAAATATCCAGCCTAGAGTAAAAGAAAAGATAGTGATGGTGGAAGAAATATACTAATAGAGATCAAATTAATATTGGCTTAATAATTCAATATGCAGAAAGTATTTTTAATTAGAATGTATTGTGATGTTGATTATACCATCTTAAGTCTGAAGCAGATGTTACAACTAAAGGAAATGTAAAGATACAGCTTCATTGGCATTGAAATACCTTAATATTATTGCAGTTTTAAATAAGAGTATGAAAAATACATAGTCAATTCCTTGGACCACAGCCTGCTACTGCTGGAATGCTCAAATATACTCCGGTCTTCCAACCTTAATGATGCAGATAAAATAGTGTTCCATTGTAATGGAACTGGTACATGACTCTGCATAAGTCTTTTTATTTTTTTTATTAGTTTATATTATAAAATACAAAAGTACAAAAACAAATAGTAGGAAAAAAGGAGGGGAAAGGGAAGAGTGTAGAAAAGAAGGGAAAAAGAAAGAAAAGGCATTGACTTCCAACACGGCTCTGCGTAAGTGTTGTTGATCTTACCATCATCTGTCTTTTCCAGAATGTTGAGGACATCAGCCAATTCCAATGAAAGTTCATCTGGTTGCTGGGCCACGTAAGGATGGACACATTGTACTTGAGGGCAATCTGTTAAAGGAAAGAAGTTAATTTAGCTTGCTAATCATTTATGAGAAGGAACTGCATGGGTATTTTTAATAGAATTAGGAGCTAATGAAATCCTGGTTTATATGAAAAACTTGCTGCAAAATATAGTTTGCAGGAATCTCTCTCAATGTTTCCAGAAGTTGCCACTGATTCTTTCCCAGAGAACAACTGATCCAGAATCAACCAGCTGGCTTTGTGCCTAAGGGACGACTAGAACTCAGCATCTCCTGGTTTCTAGCCTGGTGCCTTAACCATTACACCCAACTGGCTTTCTCAATTAATAATACCCATCCTAATTTAAAGTCTAGAAGAACTGACATCGCTAAAACCCAATAAAAGAAGAACCATATAACATATTTTTCAAACCTGTTTGGATAGCAAACCTGTCATGCCTTCTCTTTCACTTACCCATAAGTCTGGATGTGAAGGAAACAAACTTTGTTCGTCGATTTGGAGCCAGCAAAATCATCCAGCGTTTCATTTCACTTCTATGTGACATATACAGGAAGAGATCACAGCAATCAGAGTTTTCCATGTGCTTTTAGAATGGTTAGAAATCATGCAACTCTTACAATTAATTGTTCCTGCCAATTGTTCCTGCACATTATTTCTTCTGTTTAGATAAAATATATTTTATTCCATCTATGGAGGAATCAGAAAGTTGATAACGCTCCTTTTCTATAAGTCTAGTGACCATAAGATATACAAGAATGCATTTACTCTATTGTTATTAATCTCCTTCATTTAAAATAATATTTTCTTGCTGCATATAATGCATTAGGTCTTCATCTTAATACTGAATCCTTCAGCATATGTAAATATATATGTAAATCTATAGGCACTTTATCACTCCCTGTGTCATACCATGCATCAGCAAAATGACTGATCTGCAGTTATGTATTTAAAAGATATATATGGCCACCCATCTTAAGGAACTCTGGATGGCTCACAACAACCAACCATTTGTTAGGATGCCTTGCAAAATGTAATGCAATAAGCGTTGGTGCAAATCTACAAATATCTGTGAAAACTGAGCATATTTCAGAAATGTTTGGTAGACTACAAAAATATAAATTCCACTACATAGTCCTCTTATTTTTCTTTTTTTTTAATTCATTTATAACATAAAATGTGAAAATACACATGCAAACAGTAGAAAAAGGGGAAACGAAAAAGGTGTAAAGAAAATGAGGGGAAGAAACAAAAGGCATTGACTTCCGACTCTCTCTGTTGCAGTAAAATCAGACATTAAAATCAAATTTCAGCTTTTTACATTTCTATAGTAGTATGCACTAGCCATTTCTATATCGGCAAATCAGTAAAACCCAAAATCGTCCTCTTATTTTTCAACTCTTGCTTTTTAAAGCATGCATTGTTTTCTGAAAATAAAGCAGTCATCTCCCTTTCCTAGTTTCAATTTAGATAGGGTACAATAAACCTGTAACTCATATATAAAGAAAAACAAGGACTAACCATGAAGAGCATGTACTTTGATTTCAGACCAGAATATACAGTATTTACTACAGTCTCTAGCCTGAAATTATATGGCTTGGATGGAAATACTGTAAATACCAACTAAAGTAGGAATAAAATAAAACAGAACAATAAAATGCAAGTACTTGGATGCTAATGGTTTCAGTACTGAAAACTAATCTGTACATAAAACAACAAGGTTTAAAGAAGGACATACTCAATTATATAAAGAGTTCTACAGTCTACATAAACAGTCATAATCATGTTTATGAGACTAAATCTATAGGCTGTCCAAACCTCTCATAATATGTTCCATCTGCCTTTTGAAGCAGACATCAGCAAATGAAATGGTCAAATTAGCCTGAGAGAAAAATGATCCGTGTGCTTTATCAGCCTCCAAAACCCCCGATTTACTGTCAGCATTGAAATTTGTTTTGGATATGACTTATTTGCCAAAAATCTGAAATAAAGAGTTGCAGTATTGCCTAGTAACACATAAATGGTAACTTTAAGATGGGCTTAATTCCACAAAAGATTTTTGTCCAGGTTTAAATACCTCAGAAGAAAATCTGGCTGTCTCATTATTCTGTAAGGGTATGGATGGATGGATAGATGGATGTGAAAGTTGGACCATAAGAAAGGCTGAGCGACAAAGAATTGAGGCCTTTGAACTATGGTGCTGGAGAAGACTCTTGCGAGTCCCTTGGACTGCAAGGTGTTCAAACCGGTCAGTCCTAGAAGAGATCAATCCCGACTGCTCTTTAGAAAGCCAGATCCTGAAGTTGAAACTCAAATACTTTGGCCACCTAATGAGAAGGAAGGACTCACTGGAGAAGGGCCTAATGCTGGGAAAGATTGAGGGCAATAGAAGAACGGGACGACAGAGAATGAGGTGGCTGGCTGGAGTCACTGAAGCAGTAGGCGTGAGCTTAAATGGACTCCAGAAGATGATAGAGGACAGGAAGGCTGGAGGAATGTTGTCCATGGGGTCGCGATGGGTCGGACACGACTTCACAATTAACAACAACAACAAAATATAAAAGAATCTGAGCCAGCCACTACTGCCCATTGGGTTTAATATTGATTACTTGTTAATATGGTAATATGATCAACATCCCTTAAATATATGAATGTAGTTTAGCATATATCACTTCCCAAAGAGACATGGAATTACCGAGCATGGAGGGATGTTGCAAAAAAGATGACACTTCAACACTGGAAGGACAGTATGCCCTTCAGTGTGACTGATTACACATAGTGAATCAGAGGGTTGGAAGTGAGTTTGGAAATCTTCTAGTCCAATCCCCTGTCCAAACATATGACTGATGATGTGCATTCACTTTCAGATTACTTACTGATGCAAACACTAATCGATATTATTTCATATAGTCAAAACTTAATTATGTTTTCAGAAACATGATTCATTTATGTTCATTTATATATATAAGCAAAAAGCAGTAACAAATTTAAAAAGGAGTGACCACAAAAAAATCTCTTGTGAAATTCAGAGATCATGAGTGGGATTAGCTTTGTTTGCAAAACAGAATATCCATAAAATAATTTACCTTCAAACAATGGTTTTGTAGCCAAAAGGAGAAAATGAATTCAGCTCCTTAGCATATCTTATATTCATTTTAGGAATATTCTGGGACCATGTATTCAAGAATGAGAATGAAATGCTCCCAGAAAAGGGGGGGGGAACAATTTGGTTTGGTTTTCTAATTTCAGTATGGAAAAAAAATCATAACCCTATCCTTAATTCACTATTGGAGGGCAACAAGGAGCAGGGGAGGAACAAAACCATTCTAGTTCTGCCCAAGAATCAGAGACTAAAATTTTCTATGCCTAATAATGATGGTTGTAAAACAGGCAATTACATTAAGGGGAGCTAATTTTAGTGATAAAAATAAATTACAAGGTAGTTTCTGCTAAGATTTATACACAGAGCAATTTCTGAACCGATTTCTGTGAATGCATGCACGCAAATGAAAAAATGGAATATGGATGAGTTGCATACAAGCCGCTTGCTCCCTGATTAGCCTGGAAAAGCTAGAAGTCCACATAATCCATTAAGTTGGAACAAAATGAATGGGTTCACTCACAGAATCCACACACTTGCATGCGTATCACTTGTTGTACTTACTGGGATAACGCCTTCAACATATAGCTGACTTCACGGTCATCTGCATTTTCTAGCAGCCTCAGAATAAATACATTGGCCAAGCTCTGTCCTTGGTCCTCCAACTCTTCCACTCGAAGAAGGCCTCGAGAAGCAGAATCAAATACTTGGTACTTGTCACTGAAGCAAATAAATGGTTATTATTATAGGCTGGGTGTACAGGAGGTGTTGCAGCGTTTTTGCAATTGGTCATGAAGCGGAATGACTGCAGAGACACTGCAGAGGCTGTACCTTTGAAACAGGATCATAAGCAGTCTGTCGTAACTTCAAATAAGTAACCAGTTTTAAGTAGAAGACTACCTATACTCTATTTTCAATCCCTGGCTCATTTTCAGCATCTCCAATGATACTCAAGTGACACTATTTTATACATTAACATCCATACATGCACACAATCAAAGACTAAACCAGGAATACTGTTTACAAGAACAAAAGACATAAGACATGTGTTGGTAACAACATATGGTTTAAAATCATTTACATAAAGAGAAAGCAATATATAAATTTCAAAAGTGATTAATATATTTGTAACATTGTTTTACAGAAACAAAATATTACAGTATTTTATTAAAGGAAGAGAGAAGGTGTTGTGTTTTCGGCTCGTTGGCAATTGAAATTGACGAAGACACATGGTGAAAACAACAAGCTCTTTATTACTCTTCTCCTACAACCAAGCAAACAGCAAAAGGCACGCAGGCCTTTTATAGGGCCAGAGACCCAGATAGTGTGAACCAATAGGAATTGAGCATTTTCGCACCTTGCGCATACGCACAAGGCTGGCACCACCCTGTCTGCTCCTGGGCAGCTTTTGGAATGCCCGGGACCATTTGCAACATTCTGAGCTTGCTTTCAGCTCTTGCAGGCTCAGGCCACAACACCCCTCCCTCCTAGATGGAACACCTAGCTTACGCACAGGTGCATTGTGCAATGCAGGGAGAGTGAAATACAGATGCATTATTCAAATGCAAAGAGGGTGGAAATGCTTGGGTCTGCACATAGGCAACACCTTTCAAATAGTTGTTAACTCAAATAAAATATATCCAAAATTAAAATAGTATATGAGACTCTTCCTAAGTGTTAACCCCTTCATTCAGCGACCTCATGCAAGGTTGCTTATGTGTTGACAGGAACTTCACATAATCTCCTAGATGTTTAGGTGGGCACTTGGCCCGCTGTGACCTTCTAAGGGCCAGTGAGGGTGCCTGGCCTACCAGCTCACCTACCAGGCTAGGCAGGCCAGGACTTTGATGCCCCAAATACCCAGGTGACCCACCCAGCTGCTGACTGGCTGGACCCTCTGAGTCCAAGCCAGTATACCTTGGAGGGGTGGAAGTCCCCGAGTCCACAATGGACTCCTCTTGGGAACACTGTCCCTCGAGCCCAAGGCCAGCAGTCGGAGAGGCCTGAGTGGCGAAAGTGCCCCAGTACTCCTTAGCCCCCGAGCATGTGCCAGAGGTCAGGAACTGCCTCCATGGCAAACCCCCTTGCTACTGACTTCCTTTTCGGAGCAATTGCTGAATTATGAGAGTGCCCCTGTTGGAATTCCCTTTCTATGGCTGTTTGTGATTTATGTGGATACCCCCGGTCTGTCTCCTTGTCTGGAGCACTATCTGACATGTTTGAATAATGTGGATACCCCCGGTGTGACTCCCTGTCTGGAGCAATGACAGATGTGCAGGATGACCCCCTATCCTGGGAATTCCTGTTTGGAGCACTTGCGGAAGCTTGGGATGACCCCCAACGACCTCATCAGCTTGTACAGTCTTGTTAGGGCTAGGGACCTGTGACCCAGAACCCATATTATGGTCCCCCCCCCAAGAGCAGAGACAGGAGTGGAAACATGGCTGTCCAGCCTCCAACGCAGTTGGTCTATGTGATTGCGAAGAACGCGGCCATCATCCAAGGAAACTTCGTATGACAATGGCCCAGAGACCTTGCAGACAACAGCTGTTGACCCAGAGATTTCCAGGCCCATAGTTCCTTGCCCAAACCAGATCGCCCATCTGAAGTCTCCTAGGTGTCCGCCATCCAGTCTGGGTGCAAGCTGTCCAGTTTGGTGATGAGGCGGCAACCCCAGCGGAGTTCTGCAGGGCTCTTCCCAGTGGCTGTGCATGGTGTGGTGCGGTGTGCAAGAAGGAAGTCTGCTAATCTGTGATGCCAGTTAACGTAAGTCAGTTTCTTGAGAGCATCTTTGGTAGTACACACCGTTCTCTCTGCCTGTCCTTTGGAGGATGGATGGAAGGGAGCAGAAGTCGCATGCCGGATCAAGTTGGCCTGAAGAAAAGCCTGAATTCAAAAGAGGTAAATTGAGGGCTATTGTCTGAAACCAGGACATCTGGAAGCCTGGCAAAAATACCTCTCAACACCTGGATGGTCCTGGCAGTAGTAGTGGAGGAAACAGGAACAACCTCTAGCCACTTGGAATGGCTGTCAACGATGAGGAGGAAGAATTGCCCCTGAAAGGGCCCAGCATAATCTATATGCACCCATGACCATGGGGTTTGAGTTTCCTCTCACCCATGTACTGGGGCCTGAGGCATTTCAGGCCTTGACTGTTGGCACAGTTGGCACCCATGCACCTGAGCCTCGATGGCTTTATCGAGCCCAGGCCACCAAAGATGGCTGCGTGCAAGCGCTTTCATCCTTACTATACCAGGATGTTCCTCATGTAGAGAGAGCAAGATTCTAGACCTCAGTGAGGCTGGGATTACTACCTGCAATGCAAACAGGCAGTTGCTCATTGAAATGCGCTAAAACAGCATTTGAAGTGAGCAAGGCCTTAACCTCATTGAAACTCCTGTCATGGACTTTAGTCCACTGCCATGGAGCCTGCTTGTCTAAGAGCCTGTGTAATGGCTCTGCCACAGCAGCCTTATGTGGGAGAAATGCATGGTAAAAATTTAAGAGCCCCAAGAAGACTTGCAGCTCACTCTTGGACTTGGGGCTTGGGGCCTGCTGAATAGCTTGCAGTTTGGATTCAGCAGGGTGAATGCCTTGGGTATCAATCCTGAACCCTAAGAAGTCAGTGGAAGTGACTCCTATCTTGCATTTATCCTGCTTTAATTTAAGGCCTGCTTTTCGAAAACGAAGCAAGACAGTCCTTAACCTTTCTGCTAAATTTTGAGATGACTCCCCAGCAATGAGGATGTCATCGAAATAGGGACAGATCCCAGGAATACCTTGAAGTGTGCTCTCCATGACACTTTGGAATATGCCAAGGGCTATATTCACCCCAAATTGCAGTCTTTTGACCTTGAAGTCTCTCCTGTGAGTTACAATCGTCTGGGCCTCTGCAGCTGCCTCATCAATAGGTAGCTGTTGATAGGCCTGTGCCAGGTCAAGTTTTTGCAAAAATGCACCCCCCCCCCTTGAGGGAGGCCAGAATGTGGCTTACAACAGACACTGGATAAGCGTGGTGTTGCAACGCTTTATTCAGTGTGTACTTATAGTCTGCACATATACAGATTTCCCCATTAGCCTTTAGAGGCGTTACTATGGGGGTTTCCCATGGACTAGAGTCCACAGGTTCTAAGATGCCCTGCTGGAGTAATTTGTCCAGCTCAGCATCTATCTTACTTTTGAGGGCAAAAGGCACCCTTCTAGGCTTGACCCTGATGGGCGTGATAGTTGGGTCTAACCGTAGTGCAATGAGAGGCCCCTTATAGGATCCTAGCTCTGAACTAAACACATCTGCGAACTCCCTGCAAACCTCTGCAAGGCCCAATGTTTGCAAGTTGTGCAGCCCAGTTACTTGGATTCCCAGAGCCTCGAACCAATCGAGTCCAATAAGACTTGTACGTTCACCCCCAACTACCACCACATCTAGGAAACCTTCAAAATCCTTATGCTGTACCTTGAGTGTGGCCTCCCCCTTTACACAGACCTTAGAATTTTGAAAATCAGTGAGTATTAGATTCAATGGCCTGAGTTTAACTCAAAGGCCACTACTGCTGCAAATCCTTTTGAAGGTGTTAATTGAAATAATTGATAGAGTGGACCCTGTGTCCAACTCCATCAACAAGGGAACCCCTTGCAACCTCATGTTAATTTGAAGGTTTTTCTTAAAGGGCTTGTGTGTCCCTGTCCTCAGAATACTCCTGCGCGATGCTCAGAAGCACACCCTGTGTTGGCTGGGGACCCTGGTACCTTTCTGAAGCAATTCTTCCCAAGGTTGGACCTTCTGGCAAACCAAACAGACGGAGGTGATGTGGCCTTGCCTGCCGCACGCCCTGCAAATGGCGGAGCGAAACCTGCAGTCAGCTCGCTTGTGGCATCCTCCACACCTGAAGCACTGAAGAGATGCTGGGGCCTTGTCCAGATGCTCCTTCGGCCTCCTCTCAGCTGGCTGGTGAAGTCTGTCCATCTCCTCTTCAGGATCCGCTTCTGATTCTTCTCGAGCACCCTCTTGATGGATGGTAGCTGTGGCTGGAGGGTTCCTGGTGAGCTGCAAAGCCTTCACAGCCCTGCCTGCTGCTTCTTCAGCTGCCACCTCTCTCAACGCGTCTTGGAACGAGACCTCTTCTTTCGCAAAAATCTTTTGTTGTAGGTCTCTACTTCTTAAGCCACACACGAAGCGATTGTGCAGCCTTTCTTCCAGATCCTTGAACTCACAAGGCCTGGCCGCTTGTCTTAAAGCAGCAATAAAGTTCACAGCAGATTCACCTGGCCTCTGGTCTCTCTGCTCGAACACGTGCCTCCAAGCAATGATGGATAACTTCGGCTAGAAATGTTCCTTCAACATCTTCTTCAAGTCAGTGTATGTTACTGACTCCAGAAGTGCAGGGGCCACCAGATTTTCTGCGATGTTAAAAGCTTCTTGTCCATAGGCACACAAAGGAGTTGCTGCCTTCAGGCCGTCTTCTCTTATCTGATTTACTCTAAAGTAGTTCTCCACCTGTGCTACGTAGGAATTCCATCTCTCTGGGTGGGAGACATCAAAATCAGTCAAGCGGCCAATCTTCAACATCGTAAACTTTACGACCTTCGCTAATTGCCTCCTCTGCAAGCTGATCTTTGGGAAAGGGCCCTTTTGCCGAGCTCACCTCCAGCGATGCTGTACTGGCAGGCTGAGTCGCGAATGCAGGACACCATCTTCCCGATCGTCAGGACTTCTTTGGTGCGTCCTTAATTCTTTTTATTGCTTGCATGGATCCCACCTTCGTCGCCAGTGTTATGTTTTCGGCTCGTTGGCAATTGACGAAGACACATGGTAAAAACAACAAGCTCTTTATTACTCTTCTTCTACAACCAAGCAAACAGTAAAAGGCATGCAGGCCTTTTATAGGGCCAGAGACCCAGATAGTGTGAACCAATAGGAATTGAGCATTTTCGCGCCTTGTGCATGCACTCAAGGCTGGTGCCACCTTGTCTGTTCCTGGGCAGCTTTTGGAATGCCCGGGACCATTTGCAACATTCTGAGCTTGCTTTCAGCTCTTGCAGGCTCAGGACACAACAGAAGGCATGAGACCAGAAGAATGAAAAATAGAGTAAGAAACCCAACTGCAAAAGGCTCAGATGAGACAATAATAAGGACCATTTGATTGTTCATCAAGAAAGGCTATTGATATATATACACAATCAGTGAGATAAGATTATATCAATCTTTTTCTTTCTCCCTCCTACAAACTCACCACAACCCTATGAGGCTGAGAAAGAATGACTAGGTCAGAGTCACCCAGCTGGCTTTTATGCTTAAGGCAGGTATTTAATGAGCAAGTAATACTGTAAAAAATTCCCATTGTTTAGTATCCCTCCTTTCTTTATATTAAGTTCTAAAACTACACAACTGATGTGAAAATTCACTAACAATTTTGAGTAGGAGATAAAGAGAAATCCATCACTTCCATTTTGCCTTGAGAAGTGGGATTTAGAAGTAACAGGATCAACAGGAGAGGGTTAACCAATATTTCTCGGTTTCAAATCTCCATTTCTTAAGGACACTTTGCCACACAATTTAGGAAATGAAAGGTAACAATTCTTAATTTAAAAAATCCAAAATTTTAAATCTATTCATCTCAAAGATGCTTTTTCACGAGGCAAATGGACTTTTTGTTTTTCTTTGAAGACATTTCACTTCTCACCCAAGAAGCTTCTTCAGCTCTGACTGGACGGTGAGAAATGTAAGAAAAACAAGAAAGTCCTATTGCCTCAAGGAAAAGCATCTGTGGGATAACTAGATGACTGAGAATCTCCTTAGACATTTATGGATTTATTTTTAATTTAATTTAATGTTTCAATTCTAAAGCTACCTGATTGCATAATGAGTGTGGGCAATAAAAACAATAAAAAATAAAATAAAATAAAATATATCTAAGAAAAGGGAACACAATTCACCAGAACAATCAACCCCATAACACAAAAGAAAAAAAAAAAGATACCAAAGAAGCCCCTACCAAACACAAAGTGGCTTGACCACCATCATAACTCAAGGCCTGGAAGAACAATCAGGTTTTTAACAATTTGCACAGAATCAGGAAACTAAGAGCAGTCCCAATCTCCAACGGGGGATATCATTCTAGAGGCCAAATTTGGTTAAAACAATAACAACAGTTAAAAAAAATTGTCTAATACTTATGCCTACAGCTAGGGCTGTAGTAACATGAAATCCCCTGGATGATAGGCTATAAAATATTATTGTTGTAAATAAATAATATATTAATAAACATTAACTGCTAATGAAGATTAATTCCTCTCAGAATTGTTAAATTTGTCTAATTCAGACTTACCCATTAATTTGTCTGCATAGTACTAATAAGTCGTTGAAAAGGAACAAGTAGATTTCTCTAAAGAGTTTCTTTGTACGTAGTGTACGGGATGTTTTAGGGCCATTCATCTGCTGGAGTTCTCCCTGCTTTAGCAGCCAGCGGGAATGAGATATGATGGGCACAGACTAATTATGGAAAGAAAACAGAGATCATAATTAATCAGAATTTACTGCAAAGAAAGGAAAGTTGCCCCCTTAAAACAAGGGCTAGGACCTTTTGGGTATTATGATCCTTGAAGAAATTCATAGATATAACAGGGGCATAACAACAATAGGGTATTACAGCAGGATAATAACATAATCAGAAGGGCTGAAAGTGTGATCTGGAGTTTTATATTAAAAATCAGTTGCTTCCAAATTTTAATACCATGACTGTGATATTCATGGTTACAAAATGATACTGAAGGACTAATACTCATCTCTACCCTAGAATGGATGCAACCTGAGTTACATTTTTTGAAGAGGTGGAATGTGGTGTAGGTTTTTAACTCTGCTACTATTCCCATTACCCTTTATTAAAGATGTTCATTGTAAATGTGAAATAATGATATAGGATATAAGTTATATGGGATGCACAGCTAACTAGCAGGGATGGCAGTATAGATCTGAACAAGTAACAAGATTTTTAATTCCTCAAAATACCTTCTGAATCTATTTATTTGATTTATATTCTCTAATTCTTTCAGGAATTCAAGGCAGCATGAATGGCATTACTTTCTACAATATTTCCTCACAACAAAATCAAAAATAAAAAGAAGTGGACTTCTTTTTATGGCAGAAGACATATTTGAATTTTGAATTCATTATTCAGTATAAATGTCAGCCATTTCATACTAGCTAGTCCTTCTGTTAACATAAGCCAAGAAAAGGAGGTCTAAATAATGTTCTGCTTAATCAAAATTAGAACACATATTCATATTTTTTCTCAAAATTCATCAGATCACAGTTTATCTTCATCAAGCAAAGAAACTTTTCTCCACAATCCCAAATCCTATTTTTCAGATAACCTGCTTTCATAAAATTCTGCATGTTCTTTAAAACCCAATTGTCTTCTCATCATGATTTACCAGCTTCTATTTATACCTTGATCTTAAATTCCAATTTCTTTTGGATGCTGATCATCTGTTCTGTGCGACTCATTTTTCTAACTCCTTCATTACATGCCTTCACTACCTAAAAGAGAAGGATAAGGAAACTTCAGAAATAGCATTTCTTGTCCTAAGGTCCTGTTTTGGGGCTTACACGACAGTTAAAATGAAGGTGGCATCCTAATTCTTTATAACAGCAATAAACAAACAACACAGGGCAATATAAGTAGGGCAATACTTAGATTAACTTATGGTTAGGCAAGTCCTTGTCTACTTGCCTTAACTATAATTGTAGGTGCATCTGCCAGCCTATTCAACATGCAGGTGTGGAGTGATATCGAAATTCCCTAAGATCTTCTAAAGACTTCCTGTCACTCAAATTCTTCCTGTTGTCATAATTTCATTCACTGGCAGAAGGCAATAGCAAATCTCTTCCATATTATTGCTAAACAAATACCATAGATATGTTCATGAATCACCAGAAGTTAAGCTCAATTCAAGGGAAACTTTGTTTTTCTTTTGTTCATTTTTGATATTTTTATTCAAGAAATCTTTTAATCTAGATTGGTTCACTCTTTTTCAATATGTAAATGGACACATTTAAAAATATTATCTGACTATATGTCTTTAATGTTTGGGCAAAGACATATAAAAAGCTATAATGCCTTTAAAATTTAATGTTTCATTCAAACAGGATGGGCAAATTGCACTAAAATATTTGGCTGTAAGACTTAGTGTATATTCTAATATGCTATTAAGATCCTGGCCCCAGAGATATTGAGGACTAATCAAAAATCATTTTTGAATGGTTTCAAAGATATATTTCTACTTGCTACATAACTTTTGCTATGTACTTGCCACTATGTTATGAACTGTTCAACATATTGGGATTCTGTCAAATTGCAATTCACTTCTCATTATTAAACCATGCCAAAGCCAGAATACTTTATGTGAGTTGGGCGGCCAGATAAATTTGTTAAATAAATATTCAGTTTTTATAGTGACCCAATCATACAACTGTCAGTTGTATGCATTAGTATATGCGTACTTCCAATGTAAACAAAATATAAAATAATTCAACCAAATTTGAAATAGAGAATGCACAGTTATAAAAAATACATGATGTATCCAACTAATCAAAAGAGCTTCATTTTTACTTGCTTTCATAATGCTCTCAAGACTGATCCTCTTGTAATGGGGGTTTAACTATGTTACTTCTAATTAAAGAAGGCAATTCTGGAGATACCAAGTGATACAATATGGAGTTCTATAAGTCAAAGCCAGTTATTTAATTGTACTGTGGAATTTACTGACAATCAAAGTAATGCCAGCAGCATAAGGGGAATGTGGTCCTAGCATTTTAGCTAATGCATGGATTGCTGGGTTTTGAACCAAGCAGTTTCCGAATGGTTTCTGAAAGCAGCTCATGTAGAGTAAATTGCAGCATTTCAATCGAATGGTGATAAGCACATGAGTCACTGTCATAAGGTACTCCCACTCCAGGTAAGGTCATAATTGGCTTTTGTGTATGGTAAAAATCACACAGTAGCTTATAACATGTTTTAGACAGAAATAAGTGTTTAGCTTTTTATTTATTTGTACTTATTGTTAGATTTTTTATCCCACCTTTATTACTTTATAAGAAGCTCAAGGCAGCAAATGTACAGAGCAAATGTACAGAAAGAGTACAGAGAAGAGCAACAAAGATGATTAGGGGACTGGAGGCTAAAACATATAAGGAACGGTTGCTGGAATTGGGTATGTCTAGTTTAATGAAGAGAAGGAAGAGGGGGGACATGATAGCAGAGTTCCAATATCTCAGGGGCTGCCACAAAGAAGAGGGAGTCAAGCTATTCTCCAAAGCGCTGAAGGCAGGACAAGAAGCAACAGATAGAAACTAATCAAAGAGAGATGCAACCTAGAACTAAGGAGAAATTTCCTGACAGTTAGAACAATTAATCAGTGGAACAACCTGCCTCCAGAAGCTGTGAATGCTCCAACACTGGAAGTTTTTAAGAAGAGACTGCACAGCCATTTGTCTGAAATGGTAAAGGGTTTCCTGTCTGAACAGGGGGTTGGACTAGATGACCTCCAAGGTCCCTTCCAGCTTTGTTGTTGTTGTTTTTTATTATTATTATTTTGGATCATCGCACAGTCAGCCAGATGTTCAGACTGGATTTGGCATTTTGTCTACCTATCGAGTCCTTACCCAGGACTGGGATAGGCAGATGTGGATATTTGATGGTATTACAGATATCATCGCAGGATGGAAGCAGTTCCTAGTAAGGCCGCCTTTTGCAATTGACTAATAGCGAATTTGTCAATGTCAATGGTGTTCAAGTGGTTCTCCAGTTGTTTTGGGATTGCACCCAAGGAGCTTATTACTATTGGTACTACCCTTGCTTGCTTTTGCCATAGTCTTTCTATTTCTATTTGTAGGTGTTTGTATTTTGTTACCTTCTCCAGTTCTTTCTCATCTATTCTGCTGTCTCCAGGCACTGCCACGTCCACTATCCAGACTTTTTTGTCTTTCTTATCGACAATTGTTAAGTCTGGGGTGTTATGTTGCAGGTGCTTGTCTGTTTGAATTCTGAAGTCCCAGAGCAGTTTAATTTTATCATTTTCTATGACTTTCTCTATTTTATGATCCCACCAGTTTTTGCTTACAGGCAAATGATATTTTTTGCAGATCTTCCAATGCACCATTGTTGCTACTTTGTCATGCCGCTGCTTGTAATCAGTCTGTGCAATCTTCTTGCAACAGCTTACCAAGTGGTCCACTGTTTCTTCAGCTTCTTTGCATAGGCGGAACTTACTGTCTGTTGCTGTCTTCTCAATTTTGACTTTGTATGCATTTGTCCTTAAGGCTTGGTCTTGTGCAGCCAGAATTAGTCCCTCGGTCTCTTTCTTCAATTTTCCTGCTCTTAGCCATTGCCAGGTCTTATTATTATCTGCTTTCCCAGCTATTTTTTTCACATATTGGCCATGTAGTGCTTTGTCTTCCCATGCCTCTATTCTGTTCTTCATTTGGTCTTTCTTGTAGGCCAGTTTGGTCTCTCCAGTAGTCAGTAAGCCTTCCTGATATACTAATTTCAGTGCATCTTCATCATTGTTCTTCAGATATTCTTCCAAAGCCATTTTTTTTTCCTTCAACCATCTGATGTACTTGTAGCATTCCATGCCCACCTATTTGCCTTGGTAAATAAAGTCTATCAATGTCACTGCGTGGTTGAAGGGCATGATTCATTGTCATTATTTTTCTGGTCTGCTTATCCATTGCTTTTAGTTCTGCTTGAGTCCAGTCCACTATTCCAGCTGTGTACCTAATGACTGGAATTGCCCAGGTGTTGATTGCCTTTATGGTATTTCCTCCATTGAGTTTGGACTTTAAGATCTTCTTCACTCTTTTGATGTATTCACCTCTAATCTTTTTCTTCCTTTTTCTTTTTTTATTATTATTATGATTATTATTACTACTACTACTACTACTACTACTACTACTACTACTACTACTACTGTACTCTTCTTCCTATTTTTCCCACAACCACCACCTTGTTAGGTGGATTGTGCTGAAAATTTGTGACTGGCTCAAAGTAACCTCGCTGGCTTTCATGTCTAAGGCAGGACTGGAATTTAAGTTCTCCTAGTTTGTAGGACAGCACTTTCACCACATGACCAAATTGGCTCCCTATACAGGTTTGTGTAGGCCATACATATACCTTTGATCTTAACATGGATGGACTAGACCGGAGACAGAATTGTCATCCTGCATGGCCAAGGGAGGCTAGATACCTTCATATTTCACTTCTTATCAGACACTGCTTCGGTTTAAGAATAAAATTTGTAATTTGGCCTATCCCAGAAATATGCCTTTAGACAGAAAGGACACATGCTCAGGGGATTCCTAAAATGGAGTTCAAATGAAATGAAACACTTTAAAAAATATATGCCATGACTCAACAATTTTGGGATCGTAAAAGTAATTTTGCATTTCTAGATGCAAATCTGACCTATTAACAGACTTTGAATGGTGACAGCTAATTAAATTAACTACTCTCCGTGGATTTTTATCACCTTCAAATGTCTGACCAAAGGTTTGGATCCAAAAGTCTGAATCCGTTTTCCTCAGAAAATGTATTTTCTGTAAAAATACAGATGTGTCAAATTATCAACCCCTACTTAGACACTTGCTTGGAAGTGTCTAAAGGAAGTGAATTTTATACAAAAATATTGTATCAGTCATTTTCCTGGCTTTCAGTTCGTTAAAACTGCATTGGCCTAAAAGAGAAAGTGAAAAATCTAAATAAGCTTACTATTTCCAGTTCCTTGTGAGCCTCAAGAGCAGTGATTTCACGTTCAGATTTTTCTTCCACTTTCTTCAGGATATTCTGCACAAAGAGCAGGAAAAATGTTATTAACTTGCTTTATAATACAGTACGATAATACAGTATGATATTTTTAATAGGGATTTTCTCTATGTATTCCAATTCCAGATCTGTATATATGAATATATTGTAGGTATTGGTAAGTTGATATTACTGTTGAACAGTTCTGCATGAATACATGTATAAGAGGATGGTGCTAATTTAGTAGTACCATCTATATCAACACTAAAAAGAGACTTTACAGATCTTCCATTCAGCCTAATACCCATAAATATTCCTTGTTGGCTTTTCATTTCCCATTTGAATATTGTCATCTCCTTCACAGCTGACACCCAAATAAGAATGAAAAGAAAAATATAAATTTGTTGTACCTGTACCAGCAGCTTCAGCCTAGTGATTCTTTGAAAAGGCAAAATCAAGAAAGATGAGAAAGGCAGGCCTTTGCATTTTGGATCCAGTTCCAATTGTAAGATCACCTCCCGGAAAGCTGGCTTCTCTTGGCTGACAAAACAGACAGATTAAGAGATGTATTTGTTATTTCCTTTTGTTTTAAATCTGTAGGAGTAACTGATATGCTCTATGTTATTTTTTAATCCATGACACTACCTTTCTCAATACTCCTGGCCTTTGGTCCTTGGGTCTTGTTTTGAAAATTGTGGTGCAAAATATTAGCACTCTGAATGTTGGTTTATGGTTGAGTCTATTTATAGCATTGGGGATTGGAAAAATAGTTTTATGTGCAAGCAAGAGTAATAGCTTCCCTTGTGTAACATATACAGACTTAGCTGCCTATGCTTTGTGTGGGGGTGTATGTGAATGGAGTGTGTGTCCAAGCAGCTGAGTCAGAGACTTAATTATACATTTTTACACAGTCAGATTATTGTGGTATGCTGAAGTGCATATAGACATAGAAAGCAGCTTTCTATAAAGGAAATAGAATATATAATATAAGGTCCCTTTCTGACCAAGGGAAACCTTGCTGGAAATATTGAGATGAAGAATTCACCTGACCCAGATGGGAAGCTCAAGCTGACAGGCAGTCTGTCAGTGATATGGCTACTGCCATTCAGAAGTACAGAAAAGCAGCTCACAATTTTTGTTTATGTTGCAAGGAAGCTTATGTTATTGGATTCCTCACAGCCAAGAAAAGGCAGCCTTGTAAGAGAACTTTGTATTCATAATGAACTACAATAGAGGGAAGCCTCTGGAATAAAAAATTAAATCTAAATTATTGGTTTAAGGCCAAAGTGCCAAACAGCTCTTTCCAGTTAGGACTGCACTTGGCCTTTGAATGGTATACCAGAATCCAAAAACTAGCAGGTGGACTAGGAGAAAAACTACATTCATATTTAAATGTAAATAAAACTAAATACAGATAAGCATTTATTCCTTAGTCATATATTTACTTATTTCCTTCTTCATTCACATTTAAAATTACAGTTTGATAACAATTTGGACATCTCTGAAAGCTGCATCCCAGGCTATCAGTGATTTTTGATTGAGCATTTCTGCTTTATACTGTAGGTTCAAACATGCTGCAACATCATCATTGGAAGACAGCTGAGGCAAACCCTGACCTCTGGCTCAAGTGAATCCTGGGCCTGGTGGGATCCAGATGGGTTAGTTAGTTCACTTCTTAATGTAATGAAGATTTTTTTTTCTAAAAGATTAGAGTTATCTGCAAGATTTATGGTCTGTTCCAATTTTCTGAACCATTCTTCATTAAGCTAGTAAAATCAGATGTGTTATCAGTCACAAAAAGACTCACAACAAAAAGGATCTCATAGTTTCATGGGCTCACTGCTTAAAAGAGATTCTGTCCTTCCATCAAAAGATATGAAGAAAAGGTATGTTGCCAAGATTAAAGGAGGGCAAGGAGATGCGCATACACACTCACACCCCGAATGCCTTTAATTATCTGTTATAAAAATTGTGTCATGCAGACTGAGGGTCAGAACAACGCCCAATGGTAATATCCCTCTTTCGGACCAGGTACGTGTCTTTTTGTCTTTTATTCTGGTATGAAATGAATTACAAGGTAAGCATTTAATTATATGTAGAACAAAGACATGAATTCCTAAAACCTGGGGAAAATAAGTTTCCCCTGTGAGCTATCTATTAAAATCCTAAAAGTTATCCAGTTGCTGTGCTGGAGTTAAATTGTTTCATTAGCAAAGCCATGCTGGAGAAATTACACTCACAGAAGTTGTTTATAAGCTCTTTCCTGGTAGGTTTGGTTGGACACGTAAGTGACATATACTGAGAAGTGGCTAATAGTATGCTGATGGACAATGTCACAGACATCAGAGATTACAATGTTCTCTTCTACTCGCTTCTCAAGATCTAAGAGAAATCTAAATGAGAAATCAAGAATGAATCATTCAAATAAATGTAAAAACAAAGTCAACAAAGAGGGAAAGCAAGGATTGCAACAGAACCTTCAGTTTGTATTTTGCTTCACTTCTTTCCAGCAAGAAGAAGCATGGAAAGTTGTAAAATATAGACTTTTATTTGCATTGCTGAAAGAGATCTCTCTGTATTTGTTTTATACTACATTTGAGCCATGTGAGTATTATATTTGAAAGTTCATTATTTTTAAAAAATATTATCCAGTGTAAACTAAAACATGACTGTCTAGTCATTTTCACTTTATCTGATAAATAAGTTTAAGTAATTTATTACAAAATGTGAGCAAAATATACTGATAGTACAATTTTTAAACTGAGACAAACTAAACCCTAGACCAGGGGTAGGCAACCTTGGCTCTTTTATGACTCGTGGCCTTCAACTCCCAGAATTCCTGAGCCAGCATGGCTGGGTCAGGAATTCTGGGAGTTGAAGTCCACGAGTCATAAAAGAGCCAAAGTTGCCTACCCCTGCCCTAGACAGATTGTGGAAAAATAATGTGACCAAGAATTTAGTGAAAGATTCTTGGTTTTATTTTTTTAATTAATAACCAATTCTTGGCACTGTTCTTTGTAAATTAAATTTTTTTGCCCTCATTTCATGGGTAGGGAAAACAGCATGTATACATGACCACATACCAGTGGCGAGACCTCTGATTCCCAGGGAGAGATGTAGCTGTAAAATGAGGAGTATATAATCCTATGAGATGTATAGGTGCAGGAATAAATATCATGACTGATATTCACATAACAACTGCAGTAAAAATCTGGTAAATACATAGAGAGAAAGCCAGAATATTTACAGCTTTTTCTAGTTTGAGTTCACTCTGAAACATTGCCACTCTCGAATTATTTATGTCATATGAATCTAACTCTTGACAAATGAGAAACCTGTCCAACCCAACACTGTTTTTCCATAATGTTCAACTAAAAAGACACACTGTCTTTAATTCTAGAGATAATATATAGGATTAATAGATCTGTTCTTAAACACATTGCCCCCTCTGCAGGAGGAGTCCAAAGAAGAACAGGACTGTTCAAATTAGCAGTGAGATATCAACCATCATGGTGCCATCCATAATTCCCTCAACCTACTAAGTCCACTTTCCTACAGCAGGAAGAAATTGGACTTGTCTGACGCAGTTTTCTAATGTGGCTGCTTCTGATGCAAAAGATATAGGATTTAGCAACCTTTCCATTTCAGAGAAGCAATTTTGAACAATATTGTACATTTTACTATTGTTATTAATAATCACTATCTGTCCCTTTCAGGGAAAAGATGAGGAAGTTTCTTTTCTACTCATAACAATCATTTAAGGATTTACCGTTCACTGACTGCTATGACATCCAGGACATTGGAGAAGAGGATGTGAGCCTCTGAAGGATGCAAAATCTTTTTCAGTCGATCATTTTCCATGAAATGACATATCAATAAATTCAAACTTTTGTAGTATGAGGCTTCTGAAGTGACCAGTTCAAACATAGCCTGTAGGAGAATTCCAAAATTATATTATGAAGCCATGGTTCTGAAACCCTCCATTATTGTTAGTTAGCTTAGTTTCATCAGAGGGACAGGATGAATACAGAGTATATTTTATTGGCTACCACACCAGCTGCTTCAAAAGAATAAAAAGCAATTGAAAATACATATATGAAAAAGCCATATAAATAATGACTGAAGAAATGAAAGCTTGTAAGAATGGTTTATGCACACTGGAATAAATATGTAGATTCTGAAGACTGCTATTCTGATCCAGTGATTAGTATCTACACTTACAGCCAGTCCTATAGACTCTGTAGATGTTCATCTATGCAGATGAAATAGAACATCTTGTTGGGAGCCTTTAAGCAGTTGAATCAAAGTCTGTAGTTTTAAAAGAGCAATATACTTTTTCTTATGGATTACAACCTGAAAATATTTTCTAAATCAGATATTATAGTCTTAGGATATAAAGCTTCCATTGTTTAATATTTTTCATCACACTTTAAATAAAAAAATTGTCACTGTGTGAACTAATAAGAATTACATGGGTTTTAATTGGAAGGAAAGGAAAGTGATAACAGTGTTGTAAAAGTGAAAAAAACACAGCTTATGAAAAGAAGCTGTATGAAAAAGACTGAAGATAAACATTCCATTTCAGTATTATTGCCAGCTTTTAATTATCATGGATTCACATAAAGCAGATAGTTCCTTAATTGCTTAGTATGGGAATACTGTTTTATAACAGAATAGACAAAATTAAGAAGCAAAACATCTGAGAGACAAAGCAAAGAAGATTGCTCATAATTTGGGAAGTTTCCCCAAGCTACCCTTTTCAGAAAATTATTTAAATATATACGTCACATTTCTTTAACACTTCAAATACATATTAGTAAAATTCTGAAATGGATAGCAAGAATGAAAAGTATCTTGATTTACTCCAGTACAACCATCCTAAATAACCAGTACTGAACTGAAACATGAGGCTGTTCTCTCTTTCTGAATATCATTAATATACCGGTATTCCCCTTTATTTATCTATCTCATTGTGTTAGTTATACATTGATGGGAATCATATTTGCCTAATATAACTGAACATAGGTAGGTCCGCCCACCCACCCACCCACCCATCTATTTCTCTATCTATCTCTCTATCTCTCTATCTCTCTATCTATCTATCTATCTATCTATCTATCTATCTATCTAATTCATAGCTGCCCATTATCACGAGAAATGACTCTGGGGAGTGTACAATGATCAAGAAAAAACAATACATGCATAAAAATAACATTTAAAATAGAAAAACCAGCATTAGAAATGGAGATGATTAAAAGTAAAATTATATACAAGCCCTAAACAGAAAAATAAGTACATCAACCTCAATAGTAGAACCATCTAAATAAGTCTCTAGTTCCTAGGACCTCCAGTCCTGATGGTATAACCAGATCTTGAGGGACTTCCAGAACATCAAAAGAGATAGAGCTAATCTAATGTTGGTGGAGGACGGATGTTCCATAAGGCAGGTACCACAGCACAGAAGGCCTATTGCCTGGGACCCATTCCTGGCTGATGATATCAGCAGCAGGCCCTTTCTGTCTAATGGGATGGGCTAATTTAACTGGGGAGAGGCAGTCCCAACCCAGTTCTGTGCCATGAAGGTCTTTAAAAGTGAAAAAGTGCTCCTTGAATTAGACCCAAAAATAAACTGGCAACCAATGCAAATCGCAGAGCAGAAGTTTATATATGCTGTCCTAGCAGCACACATAATTGTCTGCATGCTGCATTCTGCATTGGCTGAAGTTTCTGAATGCTCTTCAACAACTGTCCCATGCAGTAGTCAAAATTGTTCCAATCTGGAGGTGACTGAGGCATGAGCTGAAGCTGTGCAAAAATCTTCCTAGGCATGACAGCCACCTGGTCCTCAAGCAGGAGTTATGATTGCTCGCTGAATCTGTCTGGGGAATCCGGCACCAAAGATGGCACAGTCTTGGAATCAGTAAGGTCCTAATCCCAGAGCCACTTAGTTTTACCAGAATTCATCTTAAGCATGTTCTTTCCATCCAGATACTCAGAACCGCCAGATACCTGGATAAGACATTCACAGTATTGCTTAATTTACAGGGGCCAAGATGCATAGTTGGGCATCATCAGCGTACCTCACCTCATGGTAATGAATAAGCTCACACAGCAGCCTCATGTGCACATACATACTCATATTTTCATATAACCTTTTTTTAGACATAGTTATTATATTACACTGTCTTACTATACGTAAATAATCATATTTGATTCAGATAAAGGGGGAATATAGTTACCTGTTCAAAGGGAAAATTATCTATTTACATTGCACTGCTGCTCATGGGTTGCATATCCAAACACGAAGACACTTCTTCATTCTATTGCAAGTGGTCAACAACTAGAACTGAATAAAAAAAAAAGTCTTGCTCCCAGCAATGAAGCTACCAGTACAGGATGGCAAAGCAAGAAATAATGGCCTAGTTTCTATGGCAACAGGGATGCATTTCTTCTTTCCCCTCCAATCACACAGAAAACAACTCAAAATCTTGTTAACATTCAATGACACTGTCAAACAGCTAAATATAATTTCCTATATGACACTTGTCATCATTATATTCTGCAGTTGAGAAATGCACTATGTATAACCATACATTGAAAAAATGTTGGAATGCCAAAATTGGCACAAAACTAACAATATTTCAAAAAGATTTTAAACTGCAATTATCAATTTAATCTAAAAAATTCTGTCACGTTGATCTAGTTTGCTATTATGATTTTTTAAGTTTTAGTGCAGTGATGATGTTACCTCATTGGGTAATGAAATGTCTGCAAGAAAACTATCAAGCTCAACAAGTATCAAGGACACCACCATTTCAATGTTGTATTATTATTTATTTACTAGATGTGTGTGCTGCTCATCTTGTCTAGAGGCTACTCTGGAATTATAAGTGATTACAGAATTTTATATATTACATATTCAGTTTTGTAAGCCACTCAGAACAACTATAACATTTAAAAATGTTAACAATCATCAGCTGCACTGAACCATAAACTAACTAACCACATTTTAATGTAGGTAAATGTGTGAACTTAATCATGGTTTACGAGCATTGCACAGCATATTGTGCAAACACAAAAATTGGATTTTTTTTTACAAAATCATGCTTAACTCTGGATTACTTCTTACATAATTGCACAGTTATGAAACAATCTGTAGAACTTTTAATTTCAATGTTAGCAATATCTATGCCTCTAAAAATATTCCAGCGAGGTAAAAGAAATCGATCACCTCCCTTGAAGTAAGGATTAAAACTAGGATAAAAAGTCAATATATGAGGCCAGAGTATGACAGGTATGTTCTTAAGTAAGATTTAATAAAACTTATTCAGGTTTTCAGAAGAGGATTAAATACACCCTCCTGGCATGGTCTCCAGGGCAGAATACTGATAAGAAATTTAAATGTAATTGTGTAGAATTATTGCAAAAGTATTTTCACATGCTAGTAATTAAATTATAAATTCATGTAATTATTAGATGGCTTTTGAAACCATCTCCATTATAGTCACATTCTTGGTCATTTCCTCCTTGTCAACATGGTACAAGAACCTGAGTAATAGCTCGTCTTCCTATTTTTTGCATCATTAAATTACTTTTGTTTAGCACAAGGAACTCCTGGTGATTCATGTTTTTTTCTGTATTTGATACTCAACAGATGTCTAGATAATTAAACCTATCCATCAGTGATATAGTCATTTTTATCATTATTTCATAATGTTTCCCTCCTTATTTATGTTGATCTAAAATAATTCAACCTACCAGTGTTTACTAATTGTCACTGGCAGTTAGCCTAATTTCAAGGTTTACTGAAAAGGTAAAATCATAGCCTCCTCATATACTTTGGTCTTATGCCCAACCTGTTTGGCAAGTCCTAAAAAAACAACAAAAAATGCAGTTTTCAGATAATATGTTAACAAGCATTTGTCTATTTATGTCTGATCCTGATAGATAAACTCTGTCATCCCTAACTCCAAAGGAACATATTAGTTTTCTAAGCAATCTCCTCTTCCATGATTCAAAACACAATATACTTTCCAACTCTCTTCACTTGTGGACTCTTTCAGAATTAAATGAATTCAATAAGGGCTGACCCTCACCTTACTGGAAACAGTGCTACATGCAGGTGGGCCCAAGGATCACACTAGGCAAAGAAGGGTCAAGAAACATTAAAATATGGATGAAAAAACGTTGTACAGGTAGTACTTAGTTAAAACAGTAATTGGGACCAGGATTGCCATCACTAATCAATGCACTTGTAAAGGGCAACATCACGTGACCACATCACTTAGTGACAGCAATCCCAGGCTGTCCTGGTTGGCATCGTAACAAGACTTTTTAAGTGGAAAGGGGTGAAAGTTACAGGTATGGAACTTGGGGGTGATGCAGGGATACCAGTGGTGGGGAGAGGCCAGGGGAATGTCTGAGAGGGCTGGGGCAGGCTATACAGAAGCCACAGGAGCCCAGAAGATGGCCTGGGAAGACTGGCACAAGTCATGCGTGAGAATCACAGGAGGCCAGGAAAGAGGCAGCAGAAACGGAAATTAAAACGGGAGTAACTTATTGGGGTGACTTGCAACTTTCCCTGTCAGCTTCCCCACTGAATTTAATTGTGAGAAGGGAGCAGGGAAGGTTGCAATTGGTGATCACACGACCATGGCTATCTGCAACACTGTAGTTGCAAGCCAGGCACACCAGCACCTGGATTACAGTCACATAACCTCAGGAATGCTATGATGTCTGGAACTTTGAGGACTGGTCCTATGTCTATTTTTTCAAGCATTGCTGTGCCTTCAAACATTTCCTGAATGAATGGTCCTAAGCCAAGGACCATTTGTTTGGGGTGGGGTTCTTGATTCATTCAACTACCTCAAAGCAGATCTTTAAACCTACGTTTACTTGTTAAATCATTTATAGCACTTTAAAAAAGACAA